CCCACTACCACAAAAAACAAACAAACAACAAAAAAGGCTACAAGAAAACAAATTCAAACAAAAAAAAATTCCCGTAAATCTAAGAAATACCCAACCTAATCCAGACCATCCAGGCTACTGCTATCTTATTAATATTCAACAGTTTAATTTTTCCTATTGAATGATAATTTCAAGTTGTCCAATGGTATAAAAACTGGAGCACATATAGATAGATATGTGAGGTCAAAACTCAAATTCTGAACTGACCTTCACAGTCTTGAGAAGAAGCTGGAACCAATGAAGGCAAGTTTGATACCAGCAAACTAAGTTCTATTGCCAAGAACAGAAAACAGAAATGGAAAAGATATGAGACAGAAAGAATGATAATCAGCAAGCAGTCCAGCTATACTAATTTAATAAACCAGTTTAATCTTGTTTCATCAGTGTTATACCCAAAGTGTTCTTTCACATAACAGAAGATGGCAACTACTCCAAAGACTACAAAGAAAATAGCTCCAACAACAACAACATAGTTCTCAGAGCAAGAAAAGTACTTTATAAAATGCACTTACTGCCCCAGCAGAAAGCTTTAAAGGTTAGCCATGCTCAGTATTATGTAATGAGTGAAACATCTGCTGCCCTGGAAACATTCTTTGTTAGAGAACTCTTTCTGTAATTGGAAACTCCTTTGGAAAAAAGCCAAATATAGTAGCCTGAAACAAAAACAAAACAGCAAAGAAAAAAGTCAAGAGACAAAAAGTCCAGTGGCTAAACTTCTTCTTGGAGCCCAAATCTCCAAGACTGCTTTTTGTAGTTATTTTGGTGCCTTTTTTTGGTTGGGATGACTGGGGACTAGGATTTGGTTTTCAGAGGACAAAGGAGAGAAGAAAGAATGTTGCTTCAAATTCACTTAAGAGGTTACTCCAAGTAAGCTGTAAGAATCAGATATATTCTCTTTCTTATTGCTCTCTCTCCTAAGCATTGAAGTATTAACATGGAAATTACTTTGCCAGAATCTCCACAGAGATTTGCCAGATCATAGAATCATGGTTTGACTAGAATTCTGCTGATTGTATTCTGTACAATACAATCAGCCACATGTGACTTAAAATCATCATCTAAGGGCTCCACAAAACCAGAGTAAAAAACCCTCTCACTGGTATTGAAGAACACAACTTTCCTCATTTTTATCTTTCGGTAAAAAAAACCACACCACTGCAGGAAGGCATCTTTCTTTTCTGTAGGTCTCTTCATTGACAGCTTCAACACACCAAACACATTCAGAGCCCTTCAGCCTATCCCCAACCCACTGAGCTCTTCTTGTTTCGATCAAGAGGTATGATTCCCATTTCTGGTTGGCCTATGTTAACCAGCCTCAAACCACTTGGCTTCAGCATTTTCATTCTTCCTCAGCTGCTTTTCAAGCTTGGTGGGAGCTTATTAACACTTCAGAAGTCTGTCTTTTAATCCTCTTGCCAACTCCTCATTAAGAAATTCTAATTTGCCAAGATGTTTTAAAATTAAGTCCAAAGCACACATTTGACAGCAGTTAGAATATTCTTTTGAATATGCTTTTGGTCTTAAGCTGCAGCAGTATACTAATTATACAGACATATGTGTCAATAAATATTTTCCTCAAACATGAAGAAAAGCTATCAAGGGTAGCAAGCTTGTGATTCTCTGTCATGAAGTCCTAACACATACCAGACATGATAAATGTGAAGTCTGACATTACACCTATTTTGAGCCTTCTTTTAATATCACCATATGATACTCAAAATACCAATACTGTATTACTCAACACACTGTAGAATTCTCAGACAAAACAGTTACAGGGAACTTCATTTTCTAGGATAAACTGTAGAAATTTTAGGCAGCAGAAGTCAAATCATTGTCAAGAGCATGCCATTAATTGCTGTAATAATTTAACACATGCCCTTGTCTTCATATTTAAAATATTCTTCACACTTGTTTTTATGTTTTTGTGGGTTTTTTAAACTTTTTTGGCACACGATATATTTCTGGATTTAGTAACTGATTTAGTAATAGGTTTAAAATAAAAGCCCCTGTTTTCCTAAAGTGGGCTGTGACTATCGTGAATACAATTTGCTATTTTAACATTTCTATTTCCAATTTAACCATTTAGGAATGAATTAATTTGATTTTCTTAGAGAACTGATCTCAGACTTTTCCAGATTTTTTTGAAATCCCATTATTTGATCCCACACGACTTACAGAACAGCATAGTCCCAATGCTCATTTGCTGTAGCATGCACAAAAAGTTTGAGACGCCGTACATTCATTTTTCTGCACAGGGTGGAGTGGAATTCACAATTTCCTCCTTTCCAAAAAACTAAAACAAAAAAAACCCCAAACCAACAAAAAAAACCCCAAGCCCCAAAACAACAAAACCACCAAAACAAACCCCTCAAACCCTCCTCCGCCAAACCAAAACCCAAACAAAAACCAACCAAATAAAACCACCACAAAACCAGACACCTATCCCAGCCTTCACAATGTGCTCCCAAGCATTCAGCAGTGGAATGTCCTCATTTTCCTGCAGTTGTACTGCTCCACTGTACACTTTACTATACTGTTCACTCAAGGAAGGGACAGTCGGGATGACAGTTGTGGAGTCAGAAGATTTACCTTAGAGATGTGCTAGCATCATTTTAGTCCCTGCTCAAAAAAGAGAGCATAAGCCTGTCCTCTGTGATAGCTTTAATCTTTTACACTCTTTTTTTAACCTCTGCCAGGTCTAGGGCAGTATCAATGCTCCATATAGACAATGGGAGTAGGAATATAAATGGAGTGACATTACTTTTACACTTAACAACCTGGACAACACAAATGCAAAGTAGTTCAACTCAGACATTCATACCAGAAAGCATGCTAGTTAATGGTGAGAATTTTAAAAAGGAACAACAGACGATTAGACACTTGAGGATCAAAGAAGTTTCCCTCCTCAGATCTGTGAATCATCTGGCTACTAATATAACTAGAAAAACAGTTCAAAATTAGAGGAGTGACTGAGTAAGTAAGATCTTTTATTCCTAGCAGAATCAGCTGGATCAAAAAGCCTAAGAAGAAGAGGTTTTGAGATGTATAGTACATACACTGTACATACACTGTACATCTGAATCTCACAGAAGAAAAAAGAAAATCTGTAAATGTCTTTGAACAGGAATTGTTCTGCTTTCTTTAAAATAAACTGAAACGTCACATTAGCCACTAGGTTCACAGGTTCATCATAGACCAAAAGAACTTCAGACATTTACATATAATTATCTTACGAGCAGATTTCTACAAACAGAGTTCAAAGCAAAAATGCAGCAAAGTATATGTATCAGAGTTTGAAATGCCTTTTAAGAAAGTATGTATTTCTTTCAAGAAAGTTTGTGTACCATGCCTTTTTTCAAAGGTGAACTTGCTATTTCATCTACCCAATCCTGAACTACATACTTCTCCCTTTATTTTGTGTTAGGTACATCTTGTTTATCCCTAGAATTATAGTAGCATAGCCAGAAGTCCACAAAAGAATTCTGTTCTTCAGAATTCCAATATAAGCCCCTGTGAAAGTACACCACCACTAGTAAAAAAATTTTTTGTTTGCAAAATCTGTTCTACTTATGTCTTGAGATTTTCTTATATCAGTACAGCTCCAGGTATGCATACACTGTTGATTAGTATTGGAAAACGTTAGTGGTATGTCTATACTTTATTCACAAAAAAAGATGAACAGTCTTGTACAGGGAAAATTACTACTTACTTATTTACTACTAAGACATAACAAAAAGTGAAAAGAAAAAAGCTAAGGAAGGATGTATCCCCAAGGTAAAGCAAGATTTTAAGGCTAGAAAAAATTAAAGTCTTTCACTGATGATTCTAACTTCAAGAATTCACTTTGAGTCAAATGAACATTGTACAGGAGACATATACACTTGCTTTTTCTGGTTTCAACAAAACTTTGAGAAAATAGTAACACATTTATGCAGTTAAAAAGTTTTATCTTTTATGTCCTGCTAACCTTTGAATATTAAGAACTGAAAACAAACCTGGATGTGACCTATGAGAGGCAAACTGTTCCCAAGCACAAGCAAGTCACATCACAGTGATTTCATTACTTTGAAACCTTATAATAAAAGCACTTGTACTCTTCCTCCTCCTGCCAAATACAAATTCTTCTCTTAAATGTATGTGGTACCTGTTCAGAAAACTGAACTTCATAGGGTTAGCCTTCCCATATTCCTTCTGCAGGAACTGGGAGAGGAACTTCAGCTAGTAATTGAGGGCACCTAAAGTTAGGCTTTCATTGAGAATTACCCCCAAAAAAGGAGGTGGATAACAGGGGAAGAAGAAAGCCTAGAAACTTGAGTCTCCCTGGGATAAAATTAACTTCTGCCAATATTGCTCTTCAGTCACATCTTTGGCAGCTTTAGCACTCTTAACAGGTACAAGACACATGTTTTACATACATTAAATATTTCTCAATTTCTTTCATCTCCTTGAAAGCACTTCCTCTGGCAAAGACACAGCTTATTTTCTAGGATTTGTTTCAAGGAAACCTGCAAAAGGTATTATCTATGCTGTGAAAAAAATACACCTCAGCAAACTTAAGGTCATATTACCTGCAAATACAACAATTTTCAGCCACTTCCAGTTAGATAACCAGAATTTTACATTCTCACTAGAATCATTAATTACTTAAAATGTAATTATGAAATTTCATTATCAGCTGTGAAAGCACAGGTACAAATGACTCTGTAGTGTAGGCAAGCTGCTGCTGCTATTTCCGAGGATGGCAGACTGATCAGCTATTGAGAACTGGCCACACCAGTTTCCATATTTTTGAAATAGTCCCTTTTGATGATTAGAGTAAATAAATGAATAATCTATTGCTGTGACTCAGCATTTTACTTTATATTTCCTTTCTATAACCTTGTCTTAGACCAAAATGGATATCCTGCAGAAGCTTCAGGGCTTAACTATAAAACTACACGTGCCTTGAATTATTGAATTTCCTGAAACATTAATTAAGTCCTTGAACTTCTTCTTCATATGCTGCTCATAAGTAGCTGCTCTCTAGCTGTGTTCTCTTTCTCCCATGTTTTTATCCCTTCCTGAAGCAGAAAAATATACACATTATGTAGACAAAGCAGAAGGATATTTTAATCACAAGACTTCAATCTATGTCAGGTTTCTTATCTGTTTGAGAGTATAGCTTCTTCCCCAGAGAACAGACATGAGGGCTGGAGCCATGTTATGTGACACCAGGAACAGCAGCACTGGGTTGCTCAACAGGGAAGAAAAAAAAAATCTTGCTTTCAGCAGTCAACTCCTCTACATTACAAAGATGTGCAAAAGAGAAGAGCAGCACTGAAGAATGCATCAGAAGAGAGACTTCAGCTTATGCATTACTGATCAAAGGCTGAAATTAATTAAAAAGACAAAAACTACCATTGAAATGAGCTGGTCCAGAGAAAAATCAAGAATATCAGGAGTTTTGCCTCTTTGGTAAAAAAAATTATTAGATTTTTGTGGTATACCTGCCCTTTGTTCACAACTGCAAAACACTTCCATTTCAAGATGATGAAAGCTTCTATGCCTTTGGACACTTGTAGCTGTAAACTCAGCTTTTGCTGCTAGAAGAGAATGACTTTAATTTGCACATCAATCCTTTATTTTAATCCACTATTTTTAATATCTTTTAGGCAGAGGAACACAGGCTCTTGGTTTTTGCTTGAAAAGCATCAAGTCTCTTTAGAGACTTTTTGAGAATAAAGGAAAGGAACTGAAGTGTCACTAAATGCAAAGATGAAAGCAGAGTAAGGCAAAACTGGCCCACTGCATTTAAGTGAAACAAAGCAAATGGAATGTTTAATGAAATGCAAGCCAACATTCAGCAAGATACTGTGGGTACATTTTTACTGTTCTTTTGATCAACAACTCTGAGATGCTGTTAAAAAAAGAAGAAAATATAGAAAATAGCTGCATGATTCAACAGAGACCATAATCATAATCTTAGTCATTCTGAAAACTCTTTTCAAGTTTCCTGCCTGCCAAAGCAAACAGTAAACATTGGGACTACATTCATACCCTCAAAAAGTCTGTAAGCAGAAAGAAAGGGCTAAAGTGAGATACCAACCAAGACAAAACTTTCTGCTTAAACAGAGCTTGGAATGCAGAGCACAGCGAACTTGTACTCCTGAAACTTTAGAATAAATCTACATTCTCACATTTTGTGACAGATGAACAAGAATTAACTGAACATGAAACAGTAACACTGCACCAGAAACTATGTTACACTCCAGAAACCCTCCTGAACTAAGTCACTTTGGTTCTAAGAACAGAGAACTGGGAACCTTTATCTACACAAATTTGCAGAATGAAACACTCTCATTATCATTACAGGGGTTTGCATTTCCAACAACACTACCTTTTTATCAGATGGGAAAGAAGCAGCATCACATTTCTGTACAACCATGGGCAACAATTTTAATAGAGGGATTATTTTTGTAGCAAACCAGAAATTCCAAAGCAGATAGAAAACCCTAAAAAATTCAGTTTACTGTTTGAAGCACTACAGGAGGAAAACAGGTCTCATGATGCAAGCGCGGCAAGCTGATTTTCATTTTACACATCTGAATAAGCAGTATGGACAACCATCAGGCAAGTCACATGGGAAACAACTTAGTAACCATGACTACAACCCCCAAGAACTATTTTACAGGTCACCTATGCCAAGATCTCCAGTACTTTGAATATCATCCAAGAAAGCAGCATGCTGAAGGTGGACAATCCTTGCCTTGGGATAACTAGCCTGCAGAGGAAGAAAAAGATAGCCTTCGACAGCGCAAGCTACCCTTAGACAAATAGACCTGATTTAGAGGTTGCAGGCACTTTTTGTTGTTATTTCAGTCAAAAGGCCACGAAACCAGTAAGAAGGCCACCAAACATGCTAGCCTTTATGCACACTGCTCTGTACCTACAGGGACCATGGAAATCTATCTGAAAGCTTAACCGTTACACATAACAGTCAAAAGACTACCTTCCCTTCTTCTTACAACTTTTTCAATATTTTTTTGTACCAAATTTTACTGAGACTTTTCTCCTATTGCATTTTTAAGCAAACCCAGATGGCATGTCAAGATGAACACTTGAACATTTTTCCTTAAAGCATATCAAGGTTGAATTCCAAAATCAATTCTCCATTGGTCAAATGCAGACCTAAAGAAGAACTAAGCTTAAAAAGATACCACTTCCAGAACTATATTTCAACAATATGTAGCACCATCACTCCAAATGAGAATTAAATATATGTTGAGTCAGAGGGATGCTACACATACAAACATTTAATATTCCAATTTTGCTCGAGCTAGGTTTTTTGTTTTTAATGAAAACCATGTAAAGGTTGATCAGAAAGAAATCACACACACAGTCTTCAAATAAGAAAACAAATATGTAAGACATGGTCCAAAAAGATGTCAATACTTTACTTTGGGCTATGGAGGGACCAATCTTAACCAAAGAATAAACAGTCACATGTAACATTATACGTATCTATAAGTATTTATGAAAATGCCCGTCTTAACTTGTAAGATTTCTTTTTTTTTTAAAGATTCAAACATTGAGATTTTAGCAGTAATCAGTGTAAGTTGTTCCAGTAAGTATTTTAACACAGAAGTCAGAACTCATGTAGGCAGGCTAATATTTATATTTCTGGTTTCTACTAAACTTCATTGTACTGCTCAAGACAGACATGCACTATTAGCATTTCATATCTACTGGAATAGTAAAAAGCAGTGTATCAGCCAATTCTTAAAAAAAATGTTAAAAAATCTTAAAAACCACTTACAGTCATATTTATAATATAAACATCCACAAACTATCTAACAGTTATTAGGTTTTTTAGTCAGTGTCCTTTGTGCAAAGGATTTGAAATATATATGCTAGTACAGCTGATTAGTAGTCTGGTTAATCACTTAAGTCTGGTCATGACAGCTTTTCAAAAAAAAAAAACCAAAAAAATCTTTCATTTTCCAAACAGATATGAAGTAGTTTGTATTCCACCATTATTTTTTTCCACAAGAACAAAACATTTACTACCCTAACTCCTAACATGCCACCTTAAAAAGAGTGATGCGAAAACTTTTACTAACTTTGTGTTTGGTTCACATGAAGAAACAGCCAACAAAACTAACAGCAAATAATTCTCTTTTTATTAACATGCCCATATGCAGGCTCAAATTTACCTAAACTTAAAACTACTATGAAGTCTAAAAACTTCATAGTAAGCCAAGAAAATATTAGACAAGTCACACTAACACAACTTAGAGGGGGGAAAAAAAAAGAAAAAAGAGTCAAATGAAATGTCCTGTTTGTTGTTTGTCCTGCCCTCATGCAGGTATAAAAGGCTAGCCACAGGCACTGGTGGACAGCAGCACAATAGTCCATGTCTGCAACACGTTTGATCTTAACAAGAGGACTTAACAGTGTTAAAAAGATTGGTACAGAATTGACATTAACTTTAGATTTTATATAATGTTGTTCAGTTTTTGCATCCCTTCTGAGACTGCAGAACCAACAGTTTCGAGGACTGTGTTTGGCATTAAAAGCACAGTTAATCAGCTTACGTCATATTTAAAGCGTCTGCAAATATTTTTCACCATTTGACACATGAAAGCCCTAGCATATCACCAGATCTTTCCGCTCCATAGGCTATCTGGCTGTGCAGCAAAGACACACGAGATATCCTCAGATGGTAATACCGATTGATTAAAAGTTATGCATTTAGCTTTTCCTTGTTCTCACATCTTCAGTACTTTAAGTTTCTCATTCATACGACTAGCTTCCAAAATACCAGTGTGACTTAGTCAGGACGATCCCTGTTATCCTAACAGCCTTCCAACAGCCGGCGACGATCTCCAGTTCGGCACAGACCACCGCAAGGGTTAAACTCGCTGACGCCGGAGCTTAGGGGAGGAGCCGGGGCTTGGAAAGGGAGAGGAAAATGGAGAAATATAGGAGGGAGCTGCCCCAGGACTCACCTGCAGCGCCTGCCACCTGCGCCGCTGCAGAGCCCCGCGCTCCCGTGGGGCGGCCGCGCCCGACGAGAGCAGGGAAAGTAACAATTATCATGGTAATAATTATAGTGAAAAAGTCCAGAAAGCGCCTCCGCCCTCCCGGCCGCGCAGAGCGGGTTAAGGACGAGCCCCGGCGCAGAAGCTCTGCCGGGGCAGGTCAGGGCAGGAGCCCTTCCCAGGGACCTAGTAGGCGCGGGGGAACACCCCGAACCTCCCTGCCTGTCCGGCGAGGAGGGCAGTTTCCTCCGGACACATTAGAGGGGAAGGAAGGGGCCATGTAGCCGGGGGCAGGAGAGGGGTTCCCCCGCCGAGCGCTGCGCCCCGAGGCGGGAGCGGGCGCCGGACCCGGCGGCTCGCCCGCCTCCCCCCGCTCCCGCCTGTCAGGCCGCCGCCGCCGCCGCGAACGCGGCCGCTCACCTGCCGCCGGCCGCGCCGCCCCCGCCCCGCCGCTTCGCCCCGCGCCCGCCGCTGCCTCAGGAGCCGCCGCACCCGTCACCGCTCCCGTTTGGGGAGGAAGCGGCCACCATGTTACTTTCTCCCCCTCCAACGCCTACTGGCGGGTCCAGGGCCCGCCCCGAAAGGAGGCGGTGGCGGCGGGGCCGGGAGCGGCGGGCCGGGCAGCGGCGCTGTGGCGGCCAGGGGGCGCCGGCGGGAGCGGCCGGAGGCCCGGGGAGGTTCAGTTCTTAGTCCTGTACAGGACAGCCCCAGCAATCAAACTAAGAGTATTGTCCAAATGCTTCTTAAACTCTGTCTTGGTGCAGGCTTGGGGACCCTGTTCCAGTGCCCAACTACTCTTGGGGTGAGGAACCTTTTCCTAATATCCAACCTAAACATCCTTTGATGCAGTATCATATCGTTCCCTCGGGTCCTGTCACTGTTCACCAGAGAGGAGATCAGCGCCTGCGCCTCTGCTTCCTTTCATGTAGAATCTGTAGACTCTGATGAGGACTGTCCTCAGCCTCCTCCAGGCTGAACAGACAAATTACCTCAGCTTATCCTTGTATGGCCATGATCATTTCAGCTACCTACCCTGATGAAGCTATGCACTTCATAGGTGACTCTAGTTTAACGAAATAGTGCTTGTAACATTTTCTGAAAGAAAAAAAAAAGTGTAGTGCTATAGACAAGGTCAGAGGACCTTACCTTGGGTGAAGGTAAGATGGTAGACACAGTTTTTCCGTATTTTAATGAGGTTTTTTTGTATTTGCAGCATCCTTCTGGACAAGTTGTCCAGCAGTGAGAGGAGCAGGTTCACAGTGCAGTGGGTGAAGAATTGGCTGAAGGGCAGAGCTCAAAGGGTAGTAGTCAATGTGGCTACATCTGGCTGAGAGGAGCTCATCAGTGGTGTTCCTCAGGGTTCAATTCTAGGGCCAGTCCTGTTTAACATTTTTATCTGTGGTTAGGAGGCAGGAGTTGAAAGCACGTTTAGTATATTTGCTGATGATACTACATTGGGGCTGCTATTGACTCTCTTGGGGGACTCTTTGGATGTAGAGCAATCTGGATGTATCAGAGTATCATTGGAAAATATTAGTGTAATGATGTCTAAAAAGAATAAATACCAGATTCAGCAGCTGGGCTGGAGGAACACTGGACACAAGTACAGGCTGGGAGAGGAGTGTGTGTAGGGCAGCCCTGCAAAAGGGATCTGGGGGAGCTGGTCGGCAGCAGCTCAGGGTGAGCCAGCAGTGGTGCCCGGGCAGCCAGGAGGGCAAACCCATCCCGGGGTGCATCAGACACAGCATCACCAGCTGTGATTGGGATCATCCTGCTGCATTCAGCCCTGGTGCGGCCTCACCCTGAGCCCTGTGTGCAGTGCTGGGCCCCACACTCTGAGAAAGGTGGGAAGGTCCCTGAATGTGTCCAGAGGAGGGGAAAAAACGCTGGTGAAAGGGCTGGAAGGAATGTCCTGTGAGGAGCGGCTGAGGACTCTGGGTTTGTCTAGCTTGGAGGAGAGGAGGCTGAGGAGTGACCTTACTGCCCTGAACAGCTGCCTGAGGAGGGGATGTGGAGAGAGAGGTGCTGATCTCTTCTGCCTGGGACCCAGAAACAGGATGTATGAGAATGACTCAAAGCAGCACTAGAGAAGGTTTAGACTGAACACTGGGAAACATTTCTTTACAAAGAGGGTGGTCAAACACTAGAACTGACTTCTTAAAGAAGTGGTCAGTGCCCTAAGCCTGTCACTGTTTGAGGGGGTTTAGGATGTTGGCATCAATAAAGGACTTTAGCTTTTAGTCAGCCTGGGAGTGGTCAGGCAGTTGGACTAAATGATTGTTGTAGGTCCCTTCCAAGAGGAACTATACCATAGTACTCTTTTTGGTTCTACCCTAAGGTGTCTTCCTTTCTGGCTGCAGATTTCTACCACCTCTCAGCAACTCTGACATCAGGTGTTTCACTATTCTGGTTTTATCAATAACTGACTAGGAAGCTCAAGGGGTGTTTTAAAGTGTTATTTTTTTTTCTGAATTCTTGATTGAAAAAAGTATCCTAAAAAGCCACTGAGTAGTAGATCTGCCATAAAAAATGAGATGACCATCCTTTTGGCAGCACTTAGTCACAGTATTTCTTGCGCCATCCTTAAATTCCACCTACCCAAGGTCTAAGAGAAGCTAAGAGAAAAGCAGCTTATTTATGTGGTTTTGAACCTATTTCACCCAGAGAGGTTAACTCTAATCCTTGCATCCAAAGAAGTAGTGAGCTGGTTTTCTTTTCTGGAATACCATGAGTTTCTGGATCCATTCTGTCCTTTTTGTCTTTTAACCAAAGCAGATAATCTAAGCATCAATGTTTTGTTTTTTTAATAATCCTCTAAGTCATGCATGTGCCAGGCAGCTTGTAACTGACCCTGAAAGCCAATAATTTAAGAATTTTATGTTATTTATTCTGTTTCATTTCTATTTGAACAGCAAAAAAATCTCCCTCTGTTCAATGTAGTTTCAGATAGTATTCAAAAATTGCCTTGAATTTGATTAATCAGCAATTGCCAAATTTATACTCCAGGTAGGCCTGATCCTTCAAACTCATTGAAGCAAATAATTTTGTTTATTTTGAGTCCTTGGGAGTAAAAATACCTTCTCTTTTCAGATTTCTGACAGAACAATTGAAAAGTTCTTCATTTAATTCCTTAATCCTGTGGTTGCCTCCACTCATATGAATTATGGAAATTACATCAGAAACCACTTCATCTTCTCTGGCTTTTGGAACTGACAGATGGAGTAGGAGTTGGGTCTATAAAGGGGGTAGTGAAAATGAATAAAGGGATGGTTGCCTGCTGCCCCAGGGAGTTCTGCTATCGCAATCTGTTAAAGATTTGTGAGGTAATGCCATCACTGTAATACATAGAAGATCTGATCTCTCTTTACTTTTAAACAGTTATAGCTGTGTTCTGCAGTTCCATACAAGACAGAAAGCTCTGAATCTGCGTGTTTCCTCTTATTGTGCAGCTGGTTATGGTTTCACAATTTATTTGCTCAGACTGTATGGTATGGGTGGGAGTTGAAGATTCACAGGCTCTCTCTGGCTTTAGTAATTTAATCAGTGATGTACAGAGATGGGATAAACATAAAATCATTGTCATATATAGCTTCAGCTTAAAACATGTATCCTGTAATTGGCAACTCTATTTCAACAGACCCATCTGTTGGAAAACCACCATATTATCTGAAAGTGTCAGGACTTCAATCCAGTATTATAAATTTTTGCTAGTTGTCATTGTGTTATGAGATCAAAACCTAAGTTAGGCTATTCTTGCTGGAAAGGTCTTCATGAACACCAGCAGGGGAGGGTAGGGATACCTTTCTTTATATTAATTATTTTTAAATGAATAATATATGCTGCTTAAAATACTGGCCTAAATTCAAGAATAGTTTGAAATTAATAATTTTAAAAAACCTGGTAATCTTGATCTTTTCTGCATGGAATGTAGCAGGATTTTTTGAGATACTTTTCTTCCAAGGGCTTTCTCGGTATAGTTTTCTGAGAAATATCATGTTCCTTTTTCCTTGTAAAAGCATTTGGTTAGAGTCTCTCTGTGTCCAGTTTGGAAAGCAACAGGTTTAGAATTGTTTTCAATAGGTTTATGATTCCCCCAAGAATAATTTCTTACGTAAGTACTCAGTAGTTGGGAAAAGGAGGTTATTCCTGCTAAAAAGTATTGAGCATGATCGCTCTTGGTTTTGGCTGCACATAGAAAATGGGTGTTTCAGAAAGCACAAGCTTGTTGCAATGTCTGTTTTTGCTAGGAAATGCTTCTGTCTGTTGTTTGCTGTTAGATTTTGTTCTGGACTTTTTTAGCAGGTTCCCGGGTTAGCTGTCATACAACAACCACTTCTCTATACTCACAGAAGGTTCTCTATGCATGTTGAACCTGACTGATCAGCCCATGTGAGCAAAAAGGCAGAAAAGACAGTAATTTTTTAAGTACACTCAGATTTGTGTTTTGTGTAATTTTTGATCCGCCTGTAATTGCTGAGATAATTGATCCTGTCCTAATAGGAACATCTCTGAACATAAATTCTGTTTTAAAGTTCAGGTCAGTTTATGCTGACTCATTTTGTCCCTCATTTACCTAACCTGACTTCTTAGCTGTTGGTACTTAGATCTTAATGGCTGGTTTTAGTAACATAACCTCATTTTTTATTCATTTTCCAAGAAAACTCACTTTTTGGAAATGAGAACTCTTTTTCTTGAGCAAAAACTTGCTCAGTTTATCAAAATATCTGGGCTGACTTGAATGAAATAAAGAGGTACGTTCACAAAGACTAAATAGGACCTTTTAATTTAGAGAGAAGAAACAAAAAATAATGTCTGGAATATAATGCCATGCAAATTGCACCTGTGTTGAGGAAATCCCTGGTATAAATACAGGCTTGAAGATGAACAGATGGAGAGCAGGTGGATGAGAGGCTGGACATGACCCAGCCATGGGCACTCACAGCCCTGAAAGCCAAACGTGCCCTGGGCTGCATCCAAAGCAGCGTGGGCAGCAGGGCCAGGGAGGGGATTCTGCCCCTCTGCTCTGCTCTGCTGAGAGCCCACCTGGAACCCTGCATCCAGCACAGGAAGGACATGGACCTGTTTGGGAGCGTTCAGACGAGGCATGGAGTACCTCTCCTAACAGAACAGGCTGAGAGAATTTGGATTGTTTAGCCTGGAGAAGAGAAAGCTTTAGAGTGACCTAAGTATGGCCTTCCTGTACCTGAAAGGAACTTAGAAGAAAGACGGAGAAGATTGTTTACAAGAGCTTCTAGTGACAGGACAACTTCAAACTGAGAACAGATTTAGACTAGATATTAGGAAGAAATTCTTTACTGTGAGGGTGGTGAGGCACTGGCACAAGTTTCTCAGAGAAAATGTGGAAGCCCCATTCCTAGCAGTGTTTATGGCCAGGCTGGATGGAGCTCTGACCAACCTGTTCTAGTAGAAAGTATTGCCGCCCACAGCAGTTGTTTGGAAATAGATGATCTTTAAGGTCCCTTGCAACCCAAGATATCCTATGATTATATGAAACTCAGATGTGAAAT